AAATGACATAACGAAGCTACTGCAACTCTCGGAATTCCATTCCGACCCCTATATCAAAACCTCACCTATCAACCGGAAAACGCCAAAAACTCAATTTCACCAATTCAAGCCTAAATCTACTCCGGACCTCCAAAACACATTTCGATCACACTCCTAAGTCCCAAATCATCTCCCGAAGCTATCCGAACCATCGGAACTCACATCCGAGCCCTCTAACACATAAGTCAATATCCAGTTGACTTTTCCAACTTAAGCCTTCTTAAAAGAGACTAAGTGTCTCAAACCTTTCCGAACACGAGCCAACCAACCCGATCACATATAAAACCGTTTAAGCAAATAGAAGCAGAAATGGGGAAAATGGAGCGGTAACTCATGAGACGACCGACCGGGTCGTCACAAATACGTTTGCTAACCACTCGGGATATTTTACATCTCGGATGGATCCTATTTTGAGAATTTTGGTTACCTCGTCCTTGATGAATTCATGCTTTACCTCGGACTGTGGCCTTCTCTTTTTCTTTACCGGTTTGAACTTCGGGTCCAAACTCAATCGATGAGTGATGATCTCCGGTGGGATCCCTGTCATGTCAAGGCGGGACCAAGCAAAATAATCCATATTTTTAATAATGAATTTAATGAGTTTTTACCTGAGCTCGGGGAGTTAACCCCGTGCCCAGGTATACTTTTCGATCGGGCAGTTGATGATAAGTATGACTTGTTCCAGCTCTTCGATCGTTGACTTCGTGGCATAGAAATCATCGGGGGTTACGAAGGTTCGAGGTATCATGTAATCATCATCCTCGATAATTTCCTGCTGTCTCGATCTGGTCGAAGCCGGCGACTGTGGTTACCATTTGACCTTCTATTTTTTCTTTGATTTTGGTCCCTTTGTTGATGTTAGAGTCGATACTGGTATCACCTCATCGATTGCAAACATCTCTTTGGCTACTGGTTGTTCATCGTACACCGTTTTCGACTCCTTTCGGTGTTGGGAATTTTAAGACTTGATGAAGCGTTGAGGGTACCACCCTCATATTATGGATCCAAGGGCTTCTGAGCAGCGCGTTTTATCTCATATCACCTTCGATTACATGGAACTTTGTTTCCTGGATAGTTCTAGCCATGTTAACTGGCAACATGATTTCCTCTTTAGTGGTTTCACATGACATGTTGAAACCGTTGATCACTCGAGCTACAAGCACGATTTGATCTTGAAGGCCGAGCTGCTCTACGACCCTCGATCGAATAATATTTGCCGAGCTACCTGGATCAACCAACACATATTTAACTTGAATTTTATTCAAAAGGATAGATATTACCAGTGCGTCGTTGTGAGGCTGTTCGATTCCTTCTGCATCCTCATTGTTGAAAGATAAGGTATCTTCTGGTAAGTAGTCCCGGGTGCGCTTCTCCCTTGTAATTGTGACTTTGGTGCGTTTAAATGTCGGACCCTGAGGGACATCGACCCCACCGACGAACATATGAATCACGTGTTGCGGTTCCTCCTGTTCATTTTTCCTGTTTTCATTCCTGTCTCTGAAGTGATTTTTTGCTCGATCACTGAAGGACTCTCGAAGATGACCTTCGCTAAATAAACGAGCTACCTCCTCCCTTAATTGTCTGCAGTCCTCGGTTCTGTGACCATGGGTTCCATGGTATTTGTACATTTGATTTGGATCCCTTTAAGATGGAGTTGTCTGCAGAGGTCTGGGCCACTAGTATCCTTGATTCGTCCAATGGCAGACATAATACCTGAAGCATCGACGCTGAAGTTGTATTCCGATAACCGTGGTGCTTCCTTAGGCTCGACATGTTTATCGAATCCACTCTTACTCATGAGCCCTCGAGAATTTTGACCTCGATCATTCCTTCGATCATTTCGAACGGGATTATGTCCCGATTCGTTATTTCTACGATCTGCGCTATATGGTTGGTACCGATCTCTGTTCGATCGGGGCTCTCTGTTGAAGTGTCTTTAAATCCTGCCTTCGGGCCTATTTAAGTGAACGGAACCAGATGGAGCTCCCAACTGATCATCCTCGACTCTGACCTTTCATTGGTATCGATTATGCACATCGGCCCAGGCCACCGCTGGATATTCAATCAAATTCTGCTTTAGTTGACGTGATGATACTGAACTTCGCTCGTTCAAACCCTAAGTAAAGGCTTGGACATCCCAATTATCAGTAATCGGGGGTAGGTCCATGCGCTCCGTCTGAAATCGAGATACGAATTCCCTTAGCATTTCATTGTCCTTTTGTTTCACTTTGAAGAGATCTGACATCCTAGTCGCGACCTTTATTGCTCCGGCGTGTGCCTTTACGAACGAATCGGCAAGTATGGCAAAAGAATCGATGGAATTGGGCGGCAAATTGTGGTACCATATCATTGCCCACTTCGATAAAGTTTCTCCAAATTTTTTCAATAAAACAGATTCAATTTCTGTATGAACGTTTTCGAATCCAAACCCTTCAGAATCGGGGGTGCCCCCGGTATTTGATCAACCAGGAGATGTACGTTTCTACCTTTTTATCATTGGCCTCGATCTTCTTTTCTCCCGATTTAATCCATTTGGTAAGCTCCTCGAGCATATTTATGATGACGGGATCAGTTCCCGATCCATTATCGTTCAATTTCTCCTGTACGGGTTCGACCCTATGAACAACTTCCTATGACGTATCGAGTTCGACTCTGCTTGGGGCTCGATTCTGATTTTGGAGTTGCGTTATCGCGGCCTGCCGAGTTTACAGCATGTCAAATATCATTCGAAGGCTAATTCCGCCTTCTTCACCATTTTTGTGTTTTGACCGGCTGCCTGGGCGTCTCTGCGGAAGCTATTTTTAGGATCGACGCCTAAATCTCCACGAATGCGAAACACGAACTGACATAAATTGGATCTACGACTTGTGGTGCTTCGGGATGGATTGGAGGCACTCCGTATCCCGAGGCGACTATGTGTTTTTTTTCGCCAAGAAGACCAAGGCCGGTATCAGTGTGAGTGGGTACTGCTTGAGGGTTTGACATGTTGGTTCCTGAAATCAAAAATACTCACGAGAACAAACGTAAAGGCAGTGTGGGTTATGAAGGTTAAACTATTAAGCAATCACTTTATCCTTAGCCCCACCGGGGGGGGGGGGGCAAACTGTTTACCCTAAAAATTGAGTAACAATTAAATTTATAATGTGGTTTTAAGGATACGTGATTTCACTTAATATCAATTGATAAACGTAAAGATAAGTGATGCAAATTGACAACAATACAAAGCAAACTAGCGATTGGTCAATGCCCTCGAGCTAATGAACCCTCGAGCTTAATAGAACAAGAGCACTTAAAGAGCAGCAAGTTGATAAACAAAAGTACGTGAGTTACAGAGAGAATATTATATTGCTTTGATATTCGTGAATGTAAGGTGTCTACAAATGATGGGGACTTCTCTTTATGTAATAGAGGAATCCTAATTATGGTACAATTCTATTATGGAGGTAAATCTCATGATTGATACAAATAACCGCCCTTGATTTGATCTGTTCCGGAATTTCCGCCTTGATCACCGACCGGTTACGGATATCTCGCTTTTCCGTTATTGCACTTCACTCGAGGTCGGTCATACTTAGCCTCAATCGCTGCTGGCCTTGATCTCGACGGGCATCTTGATTCTTAGACTTGACACCCCGTCTTCGTACTCCGGCCCGATCGATTACGAGATCGACCCTTGACCCGATCCCCTGGTGTCGATTAAATAGCAAAATCGGGCGAACTCGATCTTAACCGTATACATAAAGATAATATATTAGGATCAATGTTTAACATCATATCAGAAGCTATAGCTAATAGGAAAGGTGGAATTTTATTTCTTAAGCAAATACATCAAGCTAGCGTCATATTTGACTATGACTTTAACCCGAATTATATATCCCCGAGCCATCATGACTAAGATGTTGGTATTGCCAAACACAATCGTTATTACTAAATAATACTCATTTTATTCCATTTATATGTAACTCCTTCCTTTTAATTTGTTAGAAATTTAAACTTTTCAATTTGAAAATTTATAACATTAAGAATTCCGTTTTACCTTTGACTACATGCTCGTAAAAATGCATTACATGTTTAAGACCAATAGTTCTAAGAATCCTTTGTCAGTTATCCTAAAGGCTAAGCAGTATTTGGAGAGTGCAGGAGTAACTACAGAGGAATTTCTGAATGGTGAGACATATGCTATAAAGACAATGTATAATAAGCTGACAGACAACTATCCTAAAGTGCAATGGAAGAAATTGACATGCAACAACTAGGGCAGCACCAAATGGTTATTCATTTTATACCTTGCAATACAAGACATACTTTATACAAAGATGAGCTGAAAAAATGGGATATGGGATATGACACAACATGTCCATTATGTGATAGTGATGAAGAAGATGTACAACACTTGTTCTTTAAATGTCCGCCACATCTCAGATCTGGCAGCAACTACTCAAGTGGCATGGAAGACAAGCTATGGGATGGAAGGAAGAAATTGGGGCTCAAAATCATGCCTATGGTAACAATGCCAAAGTAGAGATATACCGTATGGCTCTTGCAGAAAGTGTATACTATACCTAATTGGAAAGAAACAGCAAAATATTCCAACAAAAAACCAGACCAGCAACAACTATAGTGAGGCAGATCATTCAAGACATACATTGCAAAGGAAGAACGAGAAAGAAATTGGCACTTCTATTGAAGCAACTTGATTACTATCCTAGTTAGTTTGGTTAGTAGACAAAGCATAGATTACAATTTTCTATTTTCTTGCTTGGCAGTAGGTGAAGTATGCTAAAGTTGGGGTTGCTGTCCAACTTTAAAGGTTTTGAGCACTCTGTAAATATTTCCTTGATAATAAAAGTCATAATTACCAAAAAAAAAAGATCTATTTTTCCTAAAATCTACAAATACAATAACAAAAATGAAATGAAAAAATGAAGTAATTAGTGCTTATTAATGAATGAGAAAATTACCGGCAATTTATGCGTAAACAACCGTCGAGCTTTTCGACATAGATTTTGCACTTGGGACATCTCCGCCATTTCTTATTCTTAGCAAGCTCCATCAGCATCACATCTAATTCCTTCCCCTTCTCGTTTCTGCCTAAACGATGGAATTCTTTGTGGTAGTATTTTTAAAATAAATAAGTCCAAGTATTATATCTTAAACCAAGTATTAATATACATGTAAAGAGTTTTTACATGTGGACAACCTTCTAGAAGTTATGGACAAATAGCTTATTTTGTCCAAGTATCCTCTTGCATGTTTGTTTATGGACAAGTGTTAAACCACTTGTCAGGATTATCGTCATTATTCTTGCCTATGTATATCCACAATCTACCCATCCGAACAAGGGCGAAGCCGCCTTTGACCACCCTTCGCCAAAAAATTACGAAAAGTTACACTGTGTATATAAGTAAAATATTGATTTTAGATATATAAAATCTATATTGAACACCCTTTGTCGGAATTTTTTTCTACTTCTTTCAAGTTTGAACACCCTTAAAAACATTTCTGGTTTCGCCACTGCATCCGAATGATCACAAAAAAAAAAAATTATCTTCTCCCTTATATTTCAATCATTACCTAGCTACATAGCCATTATCATAGAAATTATTAAGCTTTCTTCTATAGTCCCATTTCGGCTAAATTCTCATTCACAAGTTATTTCTTTTACAATTTTCCCACTTTTTGGATTTATTATTAATATTTTGTTGATTCCTGTATCCTCTAAATAAATAGAGATGGGCTTGTTTAGTTCTGAAAAAATATTTCACATTGCTGAAATAGTTCATAGGACAGTGCCTAGCACGACTAAAGTCAATCCGTGTGTTTTCGCTTGCAAATAATATTATTCAAGTATTATTATTGTTATTTTTCGGTGTCATTTCCCTACACTCTTTGTACTCAAACCCCACATGCCACGAGACATTGCATTGAGCACGGAACAATCGACGGCAATTTGGACACTCACATTCTGTTACAATATTCTCACTCCCATCGTCTACCAACATAGCTGCACAATCTTTGTAAGGACAATAAATTTTCTGTGAACCCAAAATTAGAGATTCGCACAAATCACTCTCCCATCTATCAAACCCTTCCTTAGGAACAATTTCTCGCCAAAATTGCGGTTCAATTATGCCTTGACAAGCAATATCAGGACACTTGATAACGCCAATGTTTTCTTGTATTTTGTTAGCAACATATTTGCTGATACAGAGTACGCAGAAAAAATGTGAGCAATAAGAGATGTTTCCGAACATTTCATTTGTAGGTTTATTTTCCATACAAATCATACATCGTTTTCCAGAAGAGTAAGATTCTCCGATTTCCGTCTTGACCCTCTTAAACTTACTGAATTCTGAAACCGTGGCTGCTGACATTAACGTTGTGGTAGTAATTTCAAAATAAATGAGTCGAATTGTTATGCTTTAAACCAAGTGTCAATATGCATGTAAAGAGTTTTTATAACATGTGTCAAACCTTCTAGAAGCTATGGACAAATGGCTTATTTTGTCCAAGTGTCCTCTTGCATGTTTGTTCATGGACAAGTGTTAAATCACTTGTCAAGATTATCATTATTATTGTTGCCTATGTATAGCCACAATCTACCCATCCGAATCATCTCAACAAAAGAAAAAAAATTATCTTTTCCTTTGTAGTTCAATCATTACCTAGCTACATAGCCATTATCATAGCAATTATTAAGCTTTCTTCTATAGTCCCATTTCGGCCAAATTTTCATTTCAAGTAATTTCTTTTACAGTTTTCCAACTTGCTGGATTTATTATTAATATTTTGCTGATTCCTGTATCTTCTAATAAATAGAGATGGGCTTGTTTAATCCTGGGGAAATATTTCACATTGCTGAAATAGTTTCTTAGGACAGTGCCTAGCACGACGAAAGACAATCCATGTTTCCGCTTACGAATAATATTATTGCAGTATTATTATTGTTATTTTTCGGTGTCATTTCCCTAAAATCTAAGAAGCCATGGCAACTAATACTACTATAAAAAAATTTGATGGTGCTGCCAATTTTGGTATTGTCTCTGCTGCTACTGTTCCAGTTGTCCTGCCAGATATCCATGGTGTTACAAATACGTTATTGCATACACAACTTTGGCAGACAATAATATAAAATATAGGTATGTAAATAGACATGGTTACATATCCAATGCTAATATTAAAACTTTTAAGAAAAATGCACCTTAATGAAAGATAAGAGTTGGGATAAATGATATCTCGCTAAGTCAAAAATTAAATTTGACTAAAGCGGAAATATAGTTATTGCGGTCATTTCACAAATAAATAATGTGGCCAATGTGAGAAATTGGGTGATAGGCACTAGCACTACTAGGCACATTTGTGCAGACAAGAATGAATTTTTGTCTTACACCCAAATTGAGGAAGGAGAAGAAACTATTTATCTTGGTTACTCAAGAACAACTCGCGTTCTTGGGAAATGAAAATTTCTTCTCAAACTCACATCTGGTAAAACTGTAGCATTGAGTGATGTATTGCATGTTCCTAATATCCAAACCAATTTGATTTCTGTGGGATTATTAGGAAAGTTGGAGTGAAGGTTTCTTTCGAGAATGATGAGGTTATATTGACCAAAAATAATATTTTTATTGGCTATGGATATTGTAACCATGGTTTATTTGTGCTTAATATTTCCGATACTAGCAATAAAAATGTATCTTCTCCTCCTTATATGGTTGAGTCAATTTCTTTGTGGCATGCTAGACTAGGACATGTTAATGTCGCGTATATAAAAATGCAGTCGCTATGATTAATATCTGGTTTGGACTCAAATAATATTAACAAGTATGAAATATATGCTGAAGCTAAAAGTACTAGAAAGACGTGCTTTTCTGTAAATAGAGAAACTGAATTATTATCCTTGATTTACACTGATTTAGGCGATTTACAGCAGACTATAACTAGATGTGGTAAAAGATATTATATGACTTTTATTGATGATTTTTCTAGATATACTAAGTTGTATTTGCTTAGAAATAAAGATGATGCTTTTAATGCTTTTATTTCTTATAAAACTGAGGTTGAAAATCAACTTAGTAGAAAAATCAAGAGAATTAGATCTGATAGAGGTGGAGAATATTTATCTTTAAATGATTTTTGTGAAACAAATGGAATTATTCATGAAATAACTCCGCCTTATTCACCTTAGTCAACTGGAGTAGCTGAAAGGAAAAATAGAACATTGAGAGAGATGATGAATTCTACGTTAGTTAGTTCTAATAATCCTGATAATTTGTGGGGTGAAGCTATATTATCTGCATGTCACTTACAAAATAGAATATCACATAGAAGAACTGGCAAAACTCCATATGAATTGTGAGGGATTATAAACCTAACTTGAAATATTTAAAAGTGTGGGGGAGCCATGCTAAAGTTCTTTTGCCCGAACCTAAAAAGAGAAAAATAGGTTCTAAAACTGTTGATCGTATGTTTATTGGATATGCTGAACATAGTCTTGCATATAAATTTCTATTTTAAAAAGTGATATGCTTGATTGCAATACTATAATTGAGACAAAGAATGCAGAGTTCTTTGAACATATTTTTTCACTGTCTGATAAAATTTCTCATACACATGTTGAAACAAATAATGAGATTACCTCTAATGAGGAATTGAGAAGGATCAAAAGGCTTAGAAAAGAATATTTTTCTTATGTGAATGATTTTCAAACTTTTCTTGTTGGTAAAGAACCATCAAATTATTTTGAAGCTATATCTTCTTCAAATGCTAAATATTGGAAAGAGGCAATAAAAGTTGAAATCGATTTTATTTTGAAAAATAATACATGGATTTTAACTGATTTACCTCCTGGTGCTAAGCCTATTGGTTGTAAATGAATTTTCAAAAAAAAATTTAATCCTGATGGATCTTTAGATAAATATAAAGCTCGGTTAGTATCAAAAGAATTTTCTCAAAAATAAAATATAATTTTTTTTATACATTTGCACCAGTGACCAGAATTTCTTCTATTCGAGTTTTAATTGCCTTAGCTTCAATCCGTAAGCCTTTTATCCACCAAATGGATGTCAAAACTGATTTCCAAATGATGATCAGAAGAAGAAATTTATATGGTTCGACATGAAGGCTCTGTCATTCCTGGACAAGAAAATAAAGTTTGTAAACTAATTAAATCTTTTTATGGCCTTAAACAAGCTCCTAAGCAGTGGTATGAGAAATTTGAACAAGTCTTACTGAGAGACGATTTTTCCTCAATTGAGGTGGATAAATGTGTTTATACTAAAGTGGTAGACAATGATTACGTGATAATATGTTTGTATTTTGATGACATGCTTATATTTGGTACAAGTTTAAATATTGCGCAAAGTACTAAATTATTTTTGTCCGCTAATTTTGATATGAAAGATCTGGGTGAAGTAAATACAATATTGGAAGTTAAAGTTATAAGGAGTGAAGATGGAATAATGTTGTCGCAAGAACATTATGTTGAGAGACTTCTTAAGAGGTTTGAATATTTTAATGTCACATCTGTGAGCACTCCTTTTGATGCTAACTCTCAGTTGAAAAGGAATAATGGTGACCCAGTTGCTCAGTCTAAATATGCGCAGATTATTAGGAGTCTGATGCATTTAATGAATTTTACAAGGCCTGATATAGCCTATGCTGTGTGTAGATTGAGTAGAAATACTCATAATCCCAACAGAGAGCATTGGTCTGCATTAGATAGACTAATGAAATATTTGAGAGGAACCATGAATTATAGTATCCTATATAGTGGATTTTCTTCTACTTTAGAAGGGTACAATGATGCAAACTGGATCTGTGATTCAGATGAGACAAAATCCACTAGTGGTTATGTATTCACCCTTGGTGGTGGTACAATATCGTGGAAATCAACTAAACAGAAGATCATTGCTAGATCGACTATGGAATCAGAGTTTGTAGCTCTAGAATTAGCTGGTTCTGAGGCTGAGTGGCTAAGAAACTTCTTAGCTAATATCTCTTTAATAAAGGACATATTGCCTCCTATGTCTATACACTTTGATTGCCAAGCGGCAATAGCTATAGCAAAGAATAAATCTTATAATTGTAAAAGTAGACATACGAAACTAAGACATGATGTCATAATAGCTGTTCAGAGATGGAATAATTTCCTTTGACTATGTGAAGTCAGAGATAAATTTGGCCGATCCTCTGACTAAATCTGTGGGAAGACAATAAATTCTTCAAACCTCAAAGGAGATGGGGTTAAGGCCGACATATTGTCAATAAAGATGGTAACCCAACCTATGTGTCACGATCCAAAATCCACTAAGGGTCGTGATGGCGCCGGACTCCATTGTCAGGCAAGCCAACACTAAATAACTAGTAACTTCTTATTTTAGATATTTCCAAATTTGCTTCATTTATAAATTTAACCAATAAAGAATAAGTTCCACTGAATAAATAATAATATCTTTAACGATGTCAATATACTGAATAATCCCATAAACATACTAGAACCCGGTGTCACAAGTGCATGAGCAATTACTAAGAGAATCAAATAAAGTACAATAACTGTCCGGAATACAAATTGAACAGAAGTAAATACAATACGCTGAAAGAGACTATACTGGCTGCGGGTCCAATCGAGAAAATGCAGCTCACCTAGTCTCCGTATCATCCATGCTGCTATGCCCAGTAGGCCACTAGAAATACATGCACCTGTGCAACAAAAATGCACAGCAAGTGTACCATGAGTACGAAAATAACGTGTCTCAGTAAGTATCCTGTCTAATCTCGAAAATGTAGAGACGAGAGGTCGACTTCGACACTTACTAGTGGTCCAATAATGATACGTTAATGATATAATAAATCGTGGATTTTTATAAACATAATTGCAATTAAATAGAATGAAGCAAGTAAATAAGTCTTTCTTTTATAGGAAAATTCCCAAATTGCTTTTCATCATTTATAAATTTATTCTCAAACCGGGAAGAAACAATATCACTTCAATATATTTCAAGGCAAGCATTACAAGCATGTGCAAATCATGCCGAGGTCGTACGACCCGATCCAACAATATTTAAACTGTGCACTGCCAGAGGGTCGAATGGCGTGAACCATATATGCATCTATTTAATCTACTGAGGCGTTCGGCCTGCTCCACAATATATAAATACATTCAAACAGTCAATCAAGAGTTCATCAAGGAGCAATTATCCAAGAAAAGGCAAATTTCTCTTTTAAAAATCAAGGAGACGATAACTAGTCTTTTAGATATTCAATTACACATTCGATATGTTTTAAGCACTTTTAAACTGATAACGAGATATCAAATATTGCAAGTAAGCATGCTTTTTGGGTCCTAGACTACCTGGACTTACGCATAATAGTAGCT